AAAACTGTGTGTATAAAGTCCCTTTTTTATCCTTTTTTTTAAAGTCTAGAACCCTAATCACCATCAAACAGGTCACATTTTCTCCAATAAGCACGATGAAAACGTACAGATTGGACTAAATGAGCAGTCTTTTCCAAACAGAATGGATTTTATTAGTTTTCTCCCCTCACACGTTCAGGTTTTTTTGGTTTTTCTAGAGACGACGCGTCATAAAATGATAAATCGGGTCTGGCTGCTGCTCTGAAAAACAGAGAAATGAACAGTTACTGTTTCCTCCTGTTGGCCGATAAGTAGTGAGATAACTAATGAATCTCATTACCGGAACCTCATGTTTCCATAAATATTCTGCTTAAATATTCCACTTGCTTCATTTGTGGTTGTGGATTAGGAGAATTTTGCTGTTTGCGAATCCACCCACGAGCGGCAGGATGCCAAAAACGAGTTTTTTTAAATCAAAGGGCAGGAAATATAGCAGAATAGCATCCATTAAAAATCCCTTTTTATTGGGTCTCGTTTTTGAATGTTTGGGGAACATTTTGGAAACGTTTTGGGAATGTTTGGGGAACGTTTGGGAGATATTTTGGGAATGTTTGGGGAACATTTAGGGAACAGTTGGGGAAAGTTTGGGGAATTACGGTGTAGTTTCTGAAGCTCGCAATTAAGCACAGACTGTTCTGTTCACAATGTTTGGGGAACGTTTTTCCCTAACAAATACCCAGGTTCTGGGTTGGAGTCCCTTGGTTCTGAGTTCGAGGTCCTTGGTTCTGGGTTGGAGTCCCGGGGTAACCAGGACCTTTCTGCCAGAGGGTGGATTATTTAAATCAGTGCCCTTGATCGGACTTTAAAAAACTGAATCTGGAGTCTGGATCTGAATTTTCTCGTGCCGGCTGATAGGCATTTTTTTACAAATATCGGCGGGACCAGCCTACTGTGCACTTTTAAAAAATAAAGAAAAGCCTCCTGATTGTATGTGTTGTGCTTCCCAAACTAATGCGTTCTCGGCCTTGAACAGCTCCAGTGTGTCATGAAGGTGGGATCTTGGAGGGAGGACTCAGTCGCGGAGATATGGAAACAAGAGTTTATTTTTCACAAAAACACACTCAAAAGGAGTGGATGGTAGACATGGGACAAAACAAGGCTGTGAAAAAACTATGAACAAAGTATCAAAGCAAGATTACATGACTGTGAAAAAACATGGCTGTGACAAAAACATGGCTGTGACAAAAACATGGCTGTGACAAAAACATGAACAAAGTATCAAATAAGGTAAACAAGGCTATGGCAAAAACATGGCTATGGTACAAAAACAAGACTATGGCAATAAAGTAAACTAGGATATGACAAAAACAAGACTATGGCAATAAAGTAAACTAGG